CTCCGGCGCACCCAGCCCCTTTACAGGGAGGGGCCGTCGCCATCAGCCTCACTGCCCGCACCTGGGGCTCCTCCAGCCCCGGCCCACAGCTGGAGCCCAGCGGGAAGAATCATAGAATCATGGAGGTTGGAAAAGACCTCTAAGATCATCGAGTCCAACCGTCAACCCAATGCCACCATGCCCACTAAACCATGTCCCTAAGCACCTCATCTACACGTATTTACTTCCAGGGATGGGGACTCAACCACTTCCCTGGGCAGTCTGTTCCAACGTTTAACCACTCTTTCAGTAAAGAAATTTACTGAAACAATTGGACTGAAACACTGGAACAGGGGGCCACCACCCGACCCCCACAGTGCGTCACCTCCTACCCCAGGCTCCATCACAGCCCCTCGCCCGGTGCAAAGGGAGTGCAAACGCAGCCGGGAGGGCAAAAGAAGACGGCGAGTGTTTATTCAGTCACGCACGTTACAAGTCCTGGGAGCGAGTCTGCTCCGAGGCTTGAGGACCCCAACGCTCCCCCTGCCCCTGGCACACCTCAGCAGTCGTTCCCGGAGCCACGCTCGTCAGTTCGGCAGGGAACAGATGGTCGGTCGGCTGGCCCCTAGAGCAATGGGCTGCTGGGCAGAGGTGGAGGCCGCCAAAAATGAGGAGCAGGGCACAGGACACTAAAAGAGAAGAGAAAAGTGGCAGCCAGCTGGATGGGGAGTGTAGTGAGAAAGCATGAGGCAGGGAACAGGACGTCAAGAGAAGGATGGGGACAGGGAGCCTGATAGAGGTGGAGAAAGAAGCAACAGGGAGAGAGGAAGAGAGGCAGCAGAAAGGGAGAGGGAGCGGGACAGAGGCCAACAAAGAAGGACGGGGAGCAGGATGGAGATGCAGGCAAAAACCTGGGACGGGCAGCTCGACAGAGGGGGGGGAAAGAAGAATAGGGGCAGGAAGCTGGACCGAGAGAGATGGAGAAAGACAAAAAAGCAACAAGAACAGGGCAGAGAGGGAGGAATGAAACAACAGGGACAGCAAACGATGGAGGGAAGGGGCGGGGGAGGGAACAACACAAACCAAACCACATAGCTACATGCTACAGGGCAGAGAGGGAAGAATTAAGAAATAGGGACAGCGAGCCGGAAAAAAGAGAGCTGGAAAAAGACGACCAACGTGTACAGAAAGAAGAGGGGGGGAATTCTAAAATAGGGTCATCGGGGAGCCAGAGACAGTGAGATGGAGAAAGGACAAAAGCGACAGGCCACAGGGCAGAGAGGGAGGAATTGATAAATAGGGACAGGGGACCAGACAGAATACAGTGTAGAATGGGGAAAGAAGCGGCGACCCCGTAGATCGCCCCTGGCTGAATCCTCTCCTTCCGCAGGGGCTTTTGGAGACGCTGCTCTTTCCCCGCACTGCTGCGAACGGCAGCTGTGTTAAGGAAGAATCAAGCGCATTCGAGGGCCGGCTTGCCGCCGTCAGGACAGGGCTTGTGGGGCGGCCTGGGGCTACGCGACAGGCTTCAGGGGAGACGCTGGAGCTGGGGGCAGCTGCACGGGGCGAGCGGGGCCGGGGGAGGCTCAGGGGGAGCTCTGGTGAGCTGGGGAGGCGCCCGGCGCCTGCGCCTGGGGGGGTGTCCACCTCCTTCCCCTCTTCCCTTCTATCAGCTCTCGGGTAAGTCCCTGGGGCTGACCTGAA